AATTTCACCTCTGACAGTAGTGTATCCTTTCTACAGCTAGCCCCCTCACACCTCCATTCCCATCCAGCCCCTAAGTTAAGAGAACAAGGAAGCTCTTGATTTATCACCCTGTCCCTAGGGGCCTAACTCAGTGTTCTAACCCAGGAGGCACTGAGTGACCTCTCCCTGAAATTTCTGCCTCCATTAGCATCCATTAGCCATAGCAAAGCAGAATCTGAGTATCAGAGTAAATACAACAATAACAGAAAAGATTACCTGCCAACTGTCCCGGTGCAGGCAGGAAATCACAATGAATAAAAACTTGGAGCTTGGGGCTGGAGAGATGGCTCAGCCATTAAGAGCACTGACTGCTCTTGCAAAGGACCTGGGTTCAATTCCCAGCACCCACATGGAGGCTACGAACCGTCCTTAACTTCAGTTCCAGGGGAATCCAAAGCCCTCTTCTGACCTCCGCGGCATCGCACAACATGGGGTGCACTCACATACATGCAGGCAATACACTCATACACGTAAAAAATAAAAATAATACTAATAAATAAAAATAATAAAATTTTTTTAAAAAAGAAAACTTGGAGCTGCCATGGTATTGCCCAGCTGTAACCTCCAAAGTCAGGAGGCTGAGTCAGGAGGATCACTGTGATTTCAACAGCTGCCTAGGCTACAGAGTGAGTTCCCAGCCAACCTAGACTACAGAGTAAGACCCTGTTTCAAAACAATGAGAAATATACATGACTGTTCACACCAAATCTTGTCATTTTACCTCTGTTGTCACATATAATTCTTATAATCACCTAAGAAGTATTATCATGCCCATTCTACAGATAAGGAAAACTGAAGACAGAGGATAAGTGACTTTTTCATAAGCATACCAGCTCACCTAAATCCAAAATTTCTACCTCCAAAATCTCAAACTTCTCCCTTTGACATAAATATCAATTCAAATCCCAGCACTCTGCCAACTCATTTAACTTACAACAGGCATCTCAAATGTCGCAAAGCCAAAAGACATAGACAGGTCTTCTTGGTCAAATGTCTACCTCCCTCTCAATCTCCTACTTTACCTCAGTAAATGGCACAACACCCTCCCCCCCAATAAAAAAACCCAAGTTTCCCTTCCCCACACCCCACTTTTAGTCCATGCTGTACCTCTAAACTCCAGTCCAGCTCTATCTATAGTCACAGAAGTCCACAACATCCTACTGTGTCCACTCCTACAGCTGGAGCGTCAATTAAGGCACCACGCTCTCACCTCCCTGGACTACAATAAAAACAAGTCACCAGAATACAAGCTCCAGCAGCAAGAGATTTCCATTCAGTGCATATCCAGAAACGGTTCAAAAATATTTGCTGTAGCCAGGCATAAGAATTCCTGTAATTCCACTTGGAAGGTGGAGGCAGGAGGAGCAAAGTTAGTCTCTGCTTCATAGAGTGTGAAGCCTAAAGCCAGTCTGGGCTACATGAGACCTTTCTCAAAAAAAGGCAAAACACTGTAGGCAGGTATAGTGAGTGGTACACTCCTTTAAGTCTAGCACTTGTGAAGATGAAGCAGGAGGATTGCAAGTTCTAGACTAGCTTGGTCTTTTTTAAATATTTTATTTATTATTTTCATTTTATGTGTATGAGTATATTACCTGCATATATAGTAAGTGCACCTATGTCATGCAATGACAGTGGAGGTTAGAAGAGGGTGTTGGATTCCCCTGGAACTGGAGTTATGCCATGTGGGTGCTGGGACTGGAACCTGGGCCCTCTGCAGAAGCAGTCAGTGCTCTTAACCACTGAGCCATATCTCTAGCCCCTAGCTTGGTCTTCCTAAGCAAGTTTCAGACCAGCCTTGGCTACACAGCAAGACCTGATCTTTAAAAAAAGAAATATTCACTAAATGAGTAGCTTATGATTGGCTTGGGCTACTTTCCTTACCTTCTTTTTAGTCCAGCCTTCATGGCACCCAAAACAACCTTCCAAATCTAAATCCACAGTCATTCTTTCTCACCATCTTCCCCAGCCTCTCACTGCAACCAGAATAAAACCCAAACACCAATGGGGGTAACATGGCAGGAAAAGGCCAGTAGTGTGCTTGCCGGGGAGTGGGGTTGCAGCATCTTTAAATAACTGTTAAAATCTCTTCAAGTTATGTTTTCTTGTATTTCGTTTAAGGCCTTCCAGAGAAATTCGTATCAAACTAGATAAAAACAGTCAAAAATCTCCTAGGTCTTGTAGGTGACCTAGAGGAAATTTAGCTCATTATAATCTCACTATAATGTTAAAGTCTCCAAATGGAGGCCTTCTGGTTAACCATTTTAGAACACATGCCATATAAAGAAGCATGATCTCAAACTGAGCATGCTCAGGAATGTGCCCACCTACACAAGTGATGACAAGTCTTTCTAATATAAATATGCATAAGAATCCTGAATAAAATGCTGTCGCCAGTGTTGGGGGGTAGACCCCATTTTAAGAGTTATCCCCAGTGCTCTCCTATTTGCTACAAATATTACATACACTACACCCCTCTTCTGTCCTTTGTCTCCTAGTCATGCTTACTGGCTCTTGCACTCACCAATGGTCTGACTCATTATGTAGGATTACAGACCGACATGCTCCAGTCACTCACATGAGGCCCAGCCAGTTCTGGCATCTCCTCTAAAATAGCCCCCTGTGGAGTCCTCTCTCCATTGATCAGTCTCAATTCTAGAGGCATCTTCTCAGACAGACTTTTCCCACCACCCTCCTGAGGCTGCTTTACCACACAGCCTTATTATGAAACTAGGGGATTTATTGTTTTCTTGTTTACATGCTTATGGAATGCCCACACATTCACACACACAGAGATCTTTACTGGTAGAGGTGTTTGGCTTCCTACAGTACATCTTCCTCCTGGCATTCAGGAGGTGCTCCATCAGACAAGAAGACAACTGGCAGGCTTAGTTTCTGACCATGCTGTGGGGTTTGAGGAGTTTGTTTTGCACAGCACTAAGGATTGAACCCAGGCTAAGTGCATGTTAGGCCAGCATTCTAACACTTAGCTACATCCTCAGGCCTTCAAGTAAACTCCTCCTTGGAGTTTAACAGTCCCAGCTATATAAAATCATGGTGTGAGCAGCTGCTCACCACAATGAAACCTACCGCAGTGAGCCCTCAAGTACTAAGAAAGCAGAAGTTACTGTCCTGTGGGGGAACAGCCAGCACTGGGTTCTTTCCAAAGTCCTAAGAGGGGGATTTTAGAAACAAGACATTAAATCCTGGCAAAATATCACTCATACCAATAATTCTCTTATAAAACCCATTGGAGTACAGACAATAATTTTCAGAGCCATAAAATCAACCACTTCTTGTCACTGAAAAAGCTTCAAAGGGCTTTCAAGGGATTGGAAGGACAGATGTCCCCGAATATATACTGTTACTAAACAATGAAAAGTGTTGCATCAAATTGGAAAATATCACAAAAGAAAAAGACTAAAGGATCTGGGGTTGCAGCTCAGTGGCAGAGCACTTGCCTAAGCAGGTACAAGCACCAGGCCCTATGTTCCATCCCAGCACCACATTAAAAAGAGAGAGAGGGGCTGGAGAGATGGCTCAGAGGTTAAGAACACTGACTGTTCTTGCAGAAGACCCGGGCTCAGATCCCAGCACCCACATGGCAGCTAACAACTGTCCGTAACTCCAGTTCCAGGGGCTCTGACAGCCTCTTCGGTCCTCCACCGGCATTGTGCGACATGGGTGCACTTACATGCAGGCATAACACTTAAACACATAAAACAAAAATAATAATTAATAAAATATTTTAAAGGAGAGACAATTTGTAATTTTTCAGAAAAAAATCTGTCCTGGTTCTTCTTGGTCTCAAAAACACTGACAAGGTGGAAGCATTCCGACCGCTCTTTCCTGATGGGGGCGGGGTGGTGGTGTATACCTCAAATCTAAAAGCCTCAATTTCAATTTCCTCCTCATCTCAACGCCAGCTTGCATGCATGCCAAGCAAAGTATTAGGCCTCAGAAACCAAGATAACTCCACATGGCCACCTCAAAGATGACGGATTATGGGGCACTACAAGGATGAGCCCAGAAACACACAGTTTAACCCCTGGGGCACTTACAGGCTGGCCTTCATTGTCCTAAGGCAAGTACACAAGAAAGCTCTGCACCTGGGTGCCCACACACCGCGGTTAGGTTCGTTTTCCTGTTGTTGTTTTAAATACCCCATTAACACCCTTACACAAAGAAATAACATGGGGAAAAAGCTGGACATCCAGGTGGCTTTACCTACTTAGTTGGTTTTGGTTTTTGTTTTTGCTCTAACCCTGCAGAAAGGAGAGAAATTAGCATTAAAGGGCTAAAACCTACTAATTCTGTACTGCCGTGAGTTTAATAGACAAGGAAACAAAACAGGTTTCCAGCAAGGAGTGGCAGAGAGGGGTGTGAAGGCTCGCGTCCGACAGGAGGTGTCAGGTTGGTGCCCAACCAGGGTTGGGCTGGGTGGGTAAACCCAGGAAGCTCGGCTGAGCCTGCGGACAGAACTGCGCCCAGGAGTTTGGAAATCAGGCTCGGAGACTGTTCCCCACAGTACAGAGGTCAGGTTCTAGACTTGGAGATGCCACACGCATCCTACCTGGACTGTTCGGGGGTACGGAAAAGGAGACCTTGCCCAGCCCACGTCCTTTCCTGGTTCATCCGACCTGCACTGCCAGGAGGGCTGCGGAGCTCCACGACACTCACTCGAGCCTCGGGAGCGAGGTGACAGATCCCGGATCCGGTTGGGAGCCCTGCACGTCCCGCCGCCCCCAGAATCCCAGAGGCGGGAGCAGAGGTATCCGGGTTGCGTCTCGGGCTTGCCCACGTCCCTTCCCGCCCACAGGGTTCCCCGGACGGCTGAGCACAGAGGAGCTTCCTGGGAGCACGCGGGGTCCGCCCGGGCACCCCACTGCAGCCGCACCTTCGGCGACCCGGGCTAGAGGCCGCATCCCCAGCTGACAACCCGCACTGCACCCGGCCTCTCTCACCTGGCTCGCGCAGCACTGGGCAGACATCGCGGAGGCCGACGACCTGGGAGGCGCTGCCAGCTCCGCACGCCACTCCGGCCCTCTCAGCTCTCTAGGTCCGCGAACGCCGGTCTCCGAAACTACTCCCTCTAGCCAGCCGCGAGCCGAGCAGCCCCAGCTGAGAGCCAGGGACTGCGGCCTGGGGGAGGAAAAAAAACAACTGCCGCCAAGCCCCGCCCCGCGCCGGAGGCCCCGCCCCGGGACCGCCCTTGGCCCCGGGGTCCGCTCCTCAGGCCCCGCCCCTCCCTCCAGGCCCGCCCCTAAAACCCCGCCCCGAGACCGCCTCAGGCCCCGCCCTGGAACCACCTCTTTCCCGCCCCTTCCCGGGCCTCCGCGCTGGCTTCTTCCTCGCCTGCACTTCCGCCGGCTGGCGTCTTCCCTGTGAGAAGCCAATGCCTCCTGTTTCTCAGCTCCGCTCCGCGGCTCCGGCTCCGACCCAACCGCTCTTAGTAGCAGAGGAGGACGCGGCTCCCCTCCGCCCCTCCCGGGGGAACTGGGACCGCTTGCGGACTCCCGTGAACCTTGGAGTCTGTACTGAGCAACTTCCGGATGTCCCGCGCTGCGCTTAGCCTCGCGCCAGCTGAGACTTCCACCAGATCCCTGTTCTGGAAACTTCTCTAACCTCTCTCATCTGCCAAGAAAGGTTTTGAACTTTGGGGCTGTCCCGTCCGCCCCAAACTACCTCAAATCCCTTAGGCACTTTGCTGTTCTGTGTATTCCCATGGAACTTTGAAAGCAGATGAGAGCGCTGTTCGCGCCTCTCTAGATCATGATGTATTCCAGGTTTCTCGCCCCTTCCTGCCTCTGAACCCAGCATCCTTGTTTCCTCTCACCCGACCTCGCTAAAAGAAATTGCCTAGTAATTGCTTGTTCGGTGCAGAAGGCCGGGAGGGAGCGCCAAGCTTTTCTCTTTACCCAGTTCCCTTCTCACCACCACTTCAAGTGTAAAGCTATTTTTGTTAGCGTAAGTTTTACGCCAAGCCCATTTTTACTCTTTCAAATAAACATTGCTGCACCCAATAGTGGACAGAGACAGCTGGAACCCAGGCAAGTTAAATTGCTTGCCCTAAAGCCTCAGAAAGTGAAGAAGCCAAGCCCGGTCTGGAATCCTAGTGTCTGATCTTCTGGCACAGGAACAAATGCCTGACCTTTGTTGAACAAAGCCTTTGCCAAGAGTGTCTTGGGAAGTTTAAAACGGAGGCGGACAGTAAGAAAAATTGTATGAAAATCAGTACCAGAGTTACCACCAGCACTAGGTCTTCCAGGTGTTTAAAGGAACACACAGAACGGAGCAGGCTTTGCTCAGAGGCAAGAAAAGTTATATATAAAACCAAATCAAGCCAGCACAGCAACCTGCTGAGTGACAGCCTGTGACTCAGAAGCCTGGACCTTGGTGGAGCATTACTGTGAGCTTTATTGTTTGCTGCCAGGAGATCACTTAGAACTTTACCCCCTGGGAAAACGGGTTGGCCACCTAGAGTTTCTGTGTTTGTGGGAACAGCCTAGCAGCTGGGGAGGTGGGGGTAGGGTGCAAAATCTACAAAACTTTCAATTGCGACTCCTCCAGTCCTTTAGGAGAACCCACCTGAAACCGCTGGTTAAGCTCAAAGGCTTCCTAACCTAAGTGGTTTTTGTTTTTGCTTTGTTTGTTTCCCAAACATATGCCAGCCTTTGAGGGATCTGTGAGTTTACAGATGTCAGTGTCCTAGAGAGAGATTACAAGATTTAGTGATTTGAGGATGGAGAACTGGAGCTCAATGGTAGAGCATTTACCCAGCATGCATGAGGCTTGGTGTTCCATTGCCAAAACTGTAAAAATAACTTGTGGATGTGTTAAGTGTACACCAGGCACCCAGAGAGGCTAATTAATGAAAGCCTGAGACTCCAGAGTCGAGAAGGTGCAAATTCTGATTTCACCAAGAACTCACTGGATAACCTGGCTTCTTTGAAGCACTGACTTAAAGGGTAATCCTAACTTGTATTAATAAATATATTTAAATGAAATGAAGACATGATCTATGATTTTTCTCTTCTGATCCCACCCACTTCAAGAGCTGTGTGGAGTGTGGTGCAAACACCATACCATGAAGGGTCAGTCTTGCAAATGGCATCAAGAAAACCCAATTGCAGACTGGGATGTAGGGCAGTGGTAGCCTAGTGTGAAATTTTCTGAAGAAGCTATGTGGCCTCTTAACACACCAGAACTTAAAGATCCAGCAAACTGATTGACTAGACCTTCATGATTGTGGAAAGATGGAATGTTGTAGATTGAAAGCCAAAATTGTCTTGAGCTGTCTTTAGTCCTTTAACTAGCCATTTATTACCAATCTCAGTGTCTGACCTAATATGTTTTTGACTGCTAGGTGAAGCCTTTGGAATGCACTGCCAAGCAGAGCACTAGCTGCCACCAAACCCTAAAGCTGAGTGTTAGGAAAGCATCTGAAATGTGTGGAGATGTCCATACTCTGCTGTATCCAGCCTATCCAATGTCCCCACCAAAGAATTTAGTAAATAAAATCACTTATAAATTTCTTTTGTTCTAGAAGTGTAAAACTTCATGTAATCTCTTGGCCAGGCATGTTGGCACACACCTTTAGTCCCAGCACTCAGGAGGCAGAGGCAGGCAGACCTCTCTGAGGAACGAAGAAAGGGAGGGAGGGAGGGAGAGAGGGAGGGGAAGAAAGAAAGGGGGGGAAGAGAGAGAAAGAAAGAAGAAAGAAAAAGAAAGAAAAGAAGGAAAGAAGTAAAGAAAGAAAGAAAAAGAAAGGAAAGAAAGAAAAAAGAAAGGCCAGTGTGATCTCTTCCCCCACCTATGCTCAAAGATTTCAAAGCATGTAGCCAGGTCTAGAGGTTTCCCTATCTCCCTGCTGTAATGACTTGTCTGGCTAGGAGCACCCCTTGTATCTATGACTTGTTAACAAGAGTAGAGGTACTGCTATCAGACATGAGAGACAGTGGCACCTTCATTTTTATTTTAAGTAGCCTGAAGACCTTTTCAGTAAGACATGGTATTCCTAACATGAAGGTAGTTGTATAGTCAGGAGCCTTCAATGTGGCTTTTTTCAGGAACAAATCTATATTAGTAAGACTGTAGCTCTTGGCAGACTGTGTAAAATATTTTCACCACAAAAATTTTCCTAAATTAACTGAATTAGCTCCTTTATACAATATAATTACATATGTGTACATATAAAATTATAAATAACTAGCTTATAATTTGCCATTTTTCCTCTCTTGAAGTTTTTTTGGTAGAGGTAAATGTTCAAAAACATACCACTAAACTAGAAGCAGTGAGATATGTGTGTGTGTGTGTGTGTGTGTATGTGTGTGTGTATAATTAAAGAAAAATGATGAGACAATCCATTTCTTTAAACTTATAATAAATTAGAAAACTTTATTATAAATTTTAAAATTACAATTCAAGAATTGATTAAAAGCAAATAAAATTATGTAAATCCTTAAAACTTTAACAACTCTGGACTGGGGAGATGGCTCAGCAGTTAAGAACACTGGCTGTTCGAATCCCAGCACCCACATGGCAACTGACAACCATCTGTAACTCCAGTTCCAGGGGATCTGACATCCTCTTCTGTCCTCCATGGGCACTATACTACATGGGTACACTTACACACTTGCAGGCATAATACTCATACACATAAAATAAAAACAAACAAAAAAATTTTTTTAAAAACTTCAACAACTTTGAGAAAAACCTAGTGAAGCATTCAATTAGGTTTTGCTATTGTTTGTCCGTGTTAGGATTTGAGCACAGGGCCTAGTGCATTTTAGGAAAGTCATCTAGGGCTGGAGAGTTAGCTCAGTGGTTAATAGATGCCCTAACAGAGTACCTGGGTTCTGTTCTCAGCACCCACATGGCAGCTAACAACCATCTGTAACTCCAATTCCAGGGAATTTAACTCCCCTCTTCTGGCCTCTTCGAGCATTGCACAACATAGGTGCACTTATATACATACAAACAAAATACTCATACACATAAAAATAAATAAATAAATAAATAAATCAATCAATCAAAAAAAAAATTCAGTGTTCTACCACTGAGCTACACCCCATTCCCTCTGCTGGATTTTAAATGTTAAAAAAAGAAATTTCACAGAGGCCAGCGTATCTGTAAGTTCCAGGCCAGTTGAGGCTACAGGGAGATCCTGCCTCAAAAAGACCAAAAAAAGAAAGAAATTTCTGTGATCTTTACCTACAAAGTCTTTTGGCACCCATTCTAGTGGTTGGAATTTAGTGTTAGTTGAAATTAAATAACAGCTGAGTATCAGCACTCAGGAGGCAGAGGCAGGTGGATACTCTGGATGTTCAAGGCCAGCCTGGTCTATATATGGTGAGTTCTAGACCAGCCAGAGTTATATAGTGAGACCCTGTCTCAAAAAAACAAACAAAAAAGACAAACTGCAAAGATTCATTTAGGAGATCAGCCAGCATGGTAACACATGCTTATAATCCCATCACCCAGCAAGTAGAGGCAGTAGAGCATGAATTGGGGACTGGCATGGGCTACATAGTGAGTTTCAAGCCAGCCTTGTCTACATAGAGAGACTCTGCCTCTAATCAAAAACTCTAACAACTAAGTAAATAAGGTTTCTACACCCAACCTTTTAGTCCTTTTCCCAGAAGCAAATACCTATTTCTTTAAAATTTTTTACATTTGTGTGTGTCTGTGTGTGTGTGTGTGTGTGTGTGTGTGTGTGCCTATGTGTGGGAATATGGGCATACCACAGCACACATGTGAAGATCAGAGAACAAGCTGAAGGAGTTAATTTGCTCTTTCATGTGGGTCCCAGAATTTGAACTTAGGTTGTCAGGCTTGGTAGTCAGTGCCTTTACCCACTGAGCCATCTAACCAGCCACTTTCAATGAAAGCAGTTCTTCCCTATTCACTTCCATGTTTTCAAATAATATTCCTATGTTTCCTAATCTGTTAACTGTACTTACTGTGTAGTATCTTGATGTTTCATGTGAGCTGAACTCTCAACCCAGAGAGTACTTGCTCCCTTGTCAATCTAAATATATCATAGTTTTCATAAAATTAACAACCAAACCAATATCTACATAATTATGGCAGTAAAAATTACTCACTGAATAGCCACGTAGTGTATAAAAATATGATTTCCTTCTTGTTGAAATTTTCTTTTTTCACTTAGAGAATACTTTACTAGTTTCTGTAGTCAAACCCAGATGCTCAAAACCTTATATGTTAAATATAGTACATTCATTACCCCTGTAAAAATGGAAAAAATATTAAGTTTGATGTTTTTAGACCAATATGGCTATTAATTTCTGTATAATGCCATAC